CAAATTTTGTTTCTTATTCAATTTATATATTTAATGTTACTTAAAATATTTTAACACATAAATCAAACAAAAATAATAAATTTAATTGAATAATAGAAATAAAACTTTCCCATAACAAGTGCTTGAATGTCATACTTTTGAAATTGGTATGCAGTTTAGAAGTCTCAAATGTTGAAATGTTGATATTTACATTTTATCTCCATTGGCATTGATCTGTATACATATTGGGGGAAAGGGCAAATGACAATGAGTTAGAAAAATTCTAATTGCTGGGTTTTGAGAAGGAAAACAGAAGGTATATTTGAGGTGTACTGTACAGTATTCATTTCTACTAATTTTTATAGTACAATATAAGATAAATATATGCAGGGAGGAGTGACAATTTGCTGGTAACAAAAATATTATGGGGCAGAGACTAAAAAAAATACTCTTCCCCATATGGATGTAAAACTATGTTTATATCTGTTAACAGATGATTGTATAAGAGTAGGCTGATAAGTGGGTCAGCTAGAATACATAACTGTATATTTTGTGGAAATGATGATACAACACTATTTAAAGTTTTGATGATAGTTTGTTTTTCATAAAAGTATGCTTGCACAAAATGGTATGAAACAACGTTCCAAAGACAAAGTGGTGGAAAGCAATATCCAATAAAATGGAGTTCTGAACCATCATTAAATTCTTATCAGAACTGATCCTTTCAAAACCTTTGTGTTTTCAGTAAATTACAATGTCTACTTGAGTGAACAAACTCAAGTAGACAAAAATGGGCCTCAACAATGCCGTGGTGGCTTTACCTGACATTCCTAGGCTTTTTGCATTTGCAAAAATGCATAAGCCTGAGCTGTCCATTAGACCAGTCCTCAACAAGACCAGATCTCCTACTATAGGAATCTGGAGAATAAGGTGCATTACATGTTGGCAGATCTATTAAAAGTCTATAATTTAACAGTGAGGAACTCCAGGGAATTAATTGATGAATTAAAAAGGGCAACACTTACAGAGGACATATACATCTCCATAATGGATTTCGGAGCTCTGCACCCATTGATTAAACTACAGCCCTGCTTCTGTGCCCTTAGGGATGCCTTATTTAACAAATACAACATCACATCCCATAGGAAGCATATACTTGACCTAATGCACCTGCTATAATTCATTTTTTAGGTTTGAAGATGTTACAAACATGCAAAAGAGAGGGGTTCCAATGGGGAAGCCCCCTGTCGGGCGACTTAAGATAATAGGTTTCACAGAGACTTAGTGTATATAGGATCTACAAGATGATCATTGCAAAAAAGGCTAAAGGAACATAAATATGACATAGACAAGGATAAGAACACCACAGCACTGACAACATATGCATTGGACCCAGATATATATGCGGACCTGGAGAATTCAGTTCTAATAAGGAAATTGTTCCAAACTGATCACATATGGGCATTGGAAAAACTAGAGATTTACAAAGCTGACAGAATAGGGAACTGCATAAACTATACGGACAATGACACAATATTGTATGCATGGCAGTATGCATATGAGAATGATCCCCAACATTAATGTCATTTTATACATATAATATCTGTCCAAAGCATTAGTGTGAGGACTGTGCCCCTAAATATCACATGTCAGAATTTCAAACTCTTGAATTATATGGTATTTAAATATTCAAATTCTGGACATTCCAAAGTTGGAACCAAACCTGAAGCAGAACTAGGTGGAGATTCAAAAACATTTGTGTTTCCAGTAAATTACAATGTCTACTTGAGTGAACAAAGGTTTTGAAAGGGTCAGTTACATGATTCTAGTAATCAAATAGTATAAAGTTTGATTCTTGCCAGAAATTTGCCAGGACAATGAAAACACCTAAAGAATGATTCTCCTGCTATCTCACTGTCAAAAAGTGGATAAATAATTTTGGCATTCAAGTGTAGACCATCCAGGGTGACTAATTTCAGTGTCAACATTGGAAACCATCAATTCTGATTCTTGAATACTGCCATTAGAATATGTAGCTAGATGTCAAAAAATGGTTTGGACACATTGTCCACAGGAACTGGGGATGATGAATTCTGTACATCAGTCTCCATAAACAATATTAAATAATCCAAAATGACAGTCTGTCTCAATAAATGGGATACTTTATCTGTATGAGACTTGTCTCAGCATCAGGCCCTATATAACAGTTTCAATTTAAACAACACAACATACAAGTATTTGAAAATCATTCAAATGTTGAGTTACAATTGGAAAACATTTAAATTGTTTTAACAGGTTAATTCAGAATAAAGGAATAGTAGTAAATGCAAAAAAAAAGACCTTTTAATGCGTCAGGGTCGGAATATATCCAGTAATTTGAATAATTCACTGCTCTTTACAATTTTTCATTCCCTTCATTCATTAATTTGAACTAGCCAGATTTTAAAAGAATATTTTAGGACATTCTATATAACACATTAAAATTCTTTACTAGAAAAAACCCAAGATTAAATCTTGTCATAAATAATTTAATATTAAGAATTTAATTAACTGCATAGTAAGAATTAACCTTTTGCAACTGTTAAGAATACAAAGTAGCTAATAATTTGCATATTGTTTAATTTGTGGACAATTTTTTTAGAACACAGTGATGGCTCTATATATATATATATATATATGTATAGATATATTTCAGAAGCATACATAGTAAATATATTTGAAAATTTGACATAAATTCAGGATTTTAGAAATCTAAATATGCAACAATCTCGTTACAGTTTGAAAGAAAGCTTTTATTAATATGTGCACGATATGTACAAATATGTACACAATATACTGTGAGAGCACTCACTTTTTCTAACAAATAATATGATATGTTTGCAAACTCCAACAGTTTAAAAACCACTGGAATGTATTTTTTTTTTAAGTTTTGCTCTCTACTTTTTGTACTTTAATATTTTAAGTTCTCGATATGAAAAAATTATAGCCAATATTATACTATCATTACAAATTAATTAAATACCTTTTAAAATCTTTACATTACACGTGTTGTTTTCATTGAAACATTCCACTTGCATACGCGACAGCAGATCTCATCATTTTTATTTACATTTTGAAAGATATTTTTACATTTCTAAGCCACTAGAATATATGGGGCATCACAGTAATTAGATTAGTACCTCACTTTTTATAATTATGAAACAAGATATTTTTATATGATGAGAACTGCCGACTTACAAAAAAACAAATTATAAGTAAGATCCCTTATTGAGAAAAACAATTTAATTGCAAACATATCGAATATTTCACATAACAATTTGTATGCCTTTTTTTCTTTAATAGATAAAATTAGTTTTAATAATAATCTTATGGTAACAATATTATAACTTAAGAATTATAATTTTAAAAGTAATAAAAATTTTACAGATATTTAAAATTTTAAAAAATATACATTACAGAATTATTTTAATACACAATTGCTTTGAATTTAAGATGCAATTTTCATGTTTCCAAGGCAAGCTGTACAAATGCCTCATTTTATGTGAAACTAATAATGGAAATATAAAAGCATAACAATATAAGTTTCTAATTTGCCTTTTATACCTTTGTACTTTTGTTCTTATATACTTAAAAGTATATAAAACCCTTCTCGAAGAATTTTTAAAACGAAATTTATTAAAAATGTCATTGCCTAGCCAGCTCATATCACTATCTGGTCCTAGATGCATTGCAATTAGAGTCCCATTATCTAGTCAAAATGGGAATGGTAGAAACTCAAATAAAATATCCAAATAACATGGAATTACACAGTTGTAATTGGAAATACACAGGCTCAGTAATGAAATAAACTAGTAAAATGTATCATTTATTCACCTTGAACATAAAATATGAAGAAACTAAATTCTAATTGTAATTTATTTTTAGAAGACCTATCTTGAATACTTTGTTATGGTTATTTATATGGCATAAAAGAAAATAAAAACATAAAATATCTGGCCAGAAGACAGAGAAAGCCAGATAATTAGGTCTTTATTAAATCATCCAATTTATTCTCTCAAAATCCTTTTCTAAAAATAGATTGCATCTTAAATTCAAAGTGATACAAGAATTCATGATTTACTATAAATTATTTCTCATTTAATCATCACAACCAATATGTAACTTTACATAATCTTTCTTGTACAACATTAGAGGTCATCCATTACATATGTGTATAGTTTAGGGGGTTGTCATCATCAAAAGTATATCATTGTACACAATGGAGAAAGAGAAACGGGGGCATTTGAGATATTGTCTATGTTTTCAGTAATATTAACGGTATACAAATTTGTTCTTATAAGCCTACTTACTAGCCATTGAATAAACTATTGGTTAGAAAATATTTGCAGAACTGCAAGTCATTTCTTCAATGTCAGGTGGATCTGTGAACTATTTTATAAGTAATTAAAGGGGAGAAGATTTGCCAAAAATATATTGTACACAACAGGGAGAGGTCAAAAATGACTCAAACTGTACACACAATTAATGGACAACCCCTTATTTTGAATTATTTATAATTCAAATACAAAATTTGTATATGGTATTGAGCTATTTGAATAAATCAATAGCATTTTCACAAAACATAAAATCTAGGAATTTTGAACTTTTAAATACAATTTCTTGCATTATTAAAAATCAATTCAAATAATAATAATTCCTTTCAGAAATAAAGTAAACATACAAATAACATAAGTTTTAAATATGGAATAGGAAAAGATCAAATTTATAAATATATATAAATTATGATGATGGAGTTAAAAAAATAAATATAGAAGTATAATTTTATTACTTTTAAATTTAATTTAGCAAATTAATTGATTTTAAAATTGAATGATAGTTTTTAATCTGAAATGATAAAGATAAATGGCAACAAAGCAAAGTTTTGCTTTAGGAGTAGCATTTTTTTTGTTGCATTGCATAAGAAAATTTGTTTTGNTACAAAAAACATAAGTTCTAAATATGGAATAGGAAAAGATCAAATTTATAAATATATATAAATTATGATGATGGAGTTAAAAAAATAAATATAGAAGTATAATTTTATTACTTTTAAATTTAATTTAGCAAATTAATTGATTTTAAAATTGAATGATAATGATGTGCAAATGTGGCAAAGATTTTAATCTGAAATGATAAAGATAAATGGCAACAAAGCAAAGTTTTGCTTTAGGAGTAGCATTTTTTTTGTTGCATTGCATAAGAAAATTTGTTTTGTTCAAGAATAAAATTAACATTTTTGCATAAACGAGTTTAAATTATTTAGTTTCTTTCAAAATTTAAATTATAGAGTAACCTTTGTTCTCTTTAATCTATATTGACACAAATGAATCTTTGCCATCACACGATCTTCCCTTACCAAATGCATTTGTGCAATCTCCAGAATTAAATCCCAAAATAATAGATATAAAAAATGCATTGTTTGATTAAATGTATCAATATCAGTTATCTCATCTAAATCATATGCAACTGTTTTATGACACTATTTTAATAGGAACTTGAATTTTTTTAAAGGGTATTTTTAAAGGAAGTATGTTTGATAGGAAGTAAAGGTGTAATATTGGCACTTACAATAATTTAAAATTGCTTACGAAATGCATATGATTTCAAATTCAAAGCATTTCATTATACAAAGTTAAATGATTCCAAATCATGAATTTTTCATAAATTCATACCAATGAAAATCAAATTTCTGACAAATTCTTTCCAAATTAATTTTTATAATTAAACCATCACATGCCTATGCATAATTTAAGCTTTGCAATTATAAACCCTTTAACTATTAGAAAATAGATGAAAGTAGTTTAGTTTAATGGCATATTGCAAAATATGAATAGATAAGTTTGACAAAAACTAATATTTTTACCGTAAAAAGCATTAGCAAAAGGCATTATGTATTTTTCGTTGTATTGTTTAGAATCCTTATCTTACAATTAATCAAAAATCTTTAATACTGTTCATTAAACAATTAATTTCATACTAAAATTCGACAAAATTTATTACACAGCGAAGTCTGCAAAATGTTTGCAAAATATGATAAAATTTGGCTTTAAAAAGTTCCTAAATCTTGTACATATATGTGTGTATATACATATATTATTGAAAATTTTAATAAAAATCTTTTCATGCATAAACGATGTTATTGGCAGTGAATTTCAACTATAAAAACAATGCTATATCATATTTGGTTATTGTTGGTAACTGGAAATATAGTGCTATATTATTATTATTATTATTATTAAATATAATTAATATACAGTATGTATATATATATATATGTATAGAAATCTGCATAAATGACATATTGCATGTATAGTTTTATAAAGTAGATTAATTAATGCCAGTTTCTGAATTAGAGATTATTACACAATAGGATACTGATTATCCAAACTGATCAGATGACCAAACTGTATTAGTGGTTTGGATAACTAATTTTCTATATAATCAAGCACAATTTTTATGATAAATTGAACATTAGAACCCATTTTGTATATTGAGCATAAGATTAAAGTGGAAAGGTATCTAAATATTCTTGGCTCGGCAAAACTGTATAATTATAATCGAGACTTGCCCGACAAGCTCCTCAGTCAAGAGTTGGCAAATGTAATGAAGCAGTCATTCTGATAACCAGTATTTGAATAATCAACATCCTATCGTATCTGCAGGACGGTTCTATAGATGAGTCAGATTGTAAATTATTTATAAAATTCTTCTGTTTAGTATTTTTAATATTTGTAGAAAAGAAATTTGTATAATAATTATAAAACCTAATGCAGAATCTCTACATTGATATTTTTCTTTAAATAAAAGGATTTATGTTAAAGTAGCAATTGATGAGCATTTTTTTCCCTTAAATTATTATGGCAGTGTTTTTTTTCTTATATTTTCTTTTGCTTTTCATTAAAGGTACTAATGGCTTTATGAGCATATCAAACTTTTCATTACAGTACCTAAAAATTAAATGAAAAGCAACACATTTCTGAAAGCTTCAGATCAGTTAATTGTTTTAACAGGTGCTAAAATATCATCATAGCAATTCCATCTCTCCATCCTTTCAAGTATCATATATATATAGCTCAGGTTGGAAGATAAGACTGTATTTTTATCTTTGACAAACTACTTTCTTGTCTTGTAACTAAAAAGTATTGCTGTAGAATGAATTGTTTCTCACAATAAATTTCCTACATATTCACACACAAAAGTTTTCGTTTTGGATAATGTTTTATAAAGATTATTTAAAGAACAATCTCCTATGAAAAAAATTTATAGCTTATTTTCCTGAGTTATCCATTACCAATAGTTATCTTGATAACTACTATAAAGCTGCAAATATTGCTTGTTTTTAGCAATTATAATGATAAAAAAATGTAATTTATCAATACTTCAGTTTTTGATATGTAATAAATGTTTTCTATAGTTAGTAAATCATAATTTTAAACGTATATAAACTATAATCAATTATAAATACTGTTACTATTATTTGCATAATTTTATATTTCTCCCAATGGGTTCAAACAATAATCTTTTCATTAATTCTACTTGATGAGAATAGCCAAATATATAACCTATCTCTATCAAGAAACCACAAAAGTCATGTGCCAAACACCATTGTGTAATTTCAAAATATTTTTTCTTTACTTGAAAGCTTTATAAGAATCGATTTCTTCTCATTATTCATTGTTAATTTTTTAAACATTTGGCAAATGTCTTTTGAGTGCAAATACTTTAACTGTATCACAATCTTAAATTCAAAATCACGAGAAGCCATAAATCAAGATGGCAGTGATATTTTACAGATACCGAAATTTACAAGCTGCACTAGCATAAATGTTATTTTATCGTGTAAGCACAAAGATATGTGTGTATTTACGTGTAACGTGCAGACGAGTAATTTTTTCATTTGTTTTGTTAAACGAAATAGACTAACCCTTCACTGTGGGCGTTCTCGTAATGTCATCTGAACTTCTGCCTCTCGCTAAGAATGCAAATGATCAACATGGCAGAAATCAAACCAAATAATTGGACAAAGGCAAAAATTACACTAACGATACCGACAATGTACAGTCTTTCCATTAGCCAAATATGCATTTGTTGATAACATCCCTAATAAAATAAATATTAAAATATTAAAACAAAGAATTGAGACTGATATGAAGACTAAGAATGTATGACTTACACTTTTATGCCACTTATACACTTCTCCCTTTCTTCCACAGGAGGTAATGTTGCGAAATCTGTCAATGCAGCAAGAGTGAGGAACCCATTCCTTACCTGGCCAGGCAGCAACATTGTACCAGTCTCGATAACTAATTACACCACAACATTCAAACTAAACACAAGAGAGAAACACTTGTTTAATAATCTTTACTTATTAATTCATACCTAAAAATAAAAATTTTACATCATTATTATTAATACAATAACCATCAAAAATATATAGAATACCAAACCAATTATTGTCATCATGAAAAATGTGATAATTAACTGACTAAATACTTAGTTATAACTTGGCAGGTTGTATTGTCATCTGTTGACAAATTTTATTATTACATAATTTTAATTAGATTCAGAAAAATCCAGATTTGATTCTGAATCTAAAACCATCATTTAACAATTGAATAAATTGCTGTTTTATGATCCAAACATTCCAAGTCATCCTTTTAAAATATCTTAATTATTAGTAAAATCTAATAATAATTTTTAAAATATTTAGCAATAAAATAAAAATGTATATTTGTGTCACCCTCAGAATGACACACAAAAGTTACTTGGTTACTTGTTCTTCCTTGGCTAATTACAACCTGTATTTTTATATAACAGTAAAAATTTGTTAATCTGGCACCTAAGGGACCAAAATGGAGATGGGTTATCAAAAATTCCAAATTACTGGACATTTTTTGCATTCACAAAATTTAATAAGTTTTATGTTGACCAAACATTACAGGCTTGCTGTACATTTTGTACCAGCAAATGCTGTTGTATGCTTCTGATTTGTTTATGCAGTGAGGATTAATTATACCATAATTAATCTTCATTGTTTTTGGCTCAATATCAGATAAACTGTCTAATTTTCTTATTAAAATTTTGGAATTCATGTAATAAAAAAATTAATCATTCAATTAATATTGAATTCAGTAATAATAATTTAATGTATAATCTCATTCTAACTATATCCCGTAGACAGGATGAGCTTAATTAATTTTTTGCAAGAAGGTGGGAAACCATTTACATTTAGACCAAACCCTAATGATTAATTAAATTAGACTTAATATAATCAAAAACAGGTAGTTTATTCTTACATTCCAAACAAATATCTAGAAACATCAAACTTTGTAAAAGATAATGAAAATAATCACACTTCAATAGAAAACAGCTTTTTAAGAAGATTAGCCAAACAGTTTCTTATTTACATTAATATATTTCAATGCAGTGACATAGCATAGTGGGAGCGGCAGAGGTGGCCCGCCCTGGGCAGCACTTTTAGGGGGCAGCAAAATTTCACAATAAATAATAATAAAATTTGAACCATTTCATTTCATATTTTTGTCGCACCTACGATTCAGACTGATTGAAATGAGCATGTAATTTTTCATTACTTATTCTGTGACGAAACTGAATTTTAGTCTTTTAAATTGAGATACCTAAATAAGGGGGCGGTGAAATTTTCCTCCGCCCCAGGCGGCTGACATCCACACTACACCACTGTTTCAATGCATCTGAAAACATTTAGTCTATACACTAAGACATGGATCATGTTTACTGTGGAGACAGAATCAACAACCAAACATTTGTTTTGTTTGTTGATCCCATTCCAAAATTAGATTTAATTCATTAACTCTCCTCTACACTGATATAGAATAATAAAAAAAAAAATAAACAATATAAAGCAAAATGTCAAATAGAAAAATTAATATATGTTTTCTTTTATTAAACATAATTCAAAATTGTGTGTTTTATTATTATTAAATTTTAGTAAAGTCCAATGTATTGTAAATATGGTAATAATTTGATATATTTTTATTATATTTTTTAATATAATAAAAATAAATTTGTCCATCAATCCCCAAACAACTAGTAATTCATCAACCTTTCAGCGATTGCTAACAACTGGATTGTTAACTCCTGACATTGACAATGAATCTGGGATTCTTAAACTGTGGTCACAACCCTCTTTGGGATCACATAACTGAATTTGGGGTTGCAAAAATTTCACAATAGTAAAAATCTTATAGTATGTATTCATGCAAAGCAGCATTTTAGTATTGATGATTACAAAATCAAAATGTTAGTCAATTCTGAAAAACATTGAAGATGCCAAATATCTTGCAGTATCAAATATTTAGCTGAGATTTAATTCTTTGTGTAAAAATACACAAGCATATCTATCTCATTTGTGTCTCATTTGTCTTTAATAAATAGTAATACATTTTAAAATAATGTTTTATGATTTATCATCATCAATTTTATTTGTATACCTCTTTTATATACCTATGATATATACTGGCAATCACATAAAATTTTCTTGGGTAAAAGAGAGTGGTAAATGGAAAAAGTTTAAGCCCTGATCTAAAGCAAATCATTTTTTTATCAGTTTGATATTAGAAATGTTATTGTATTACTCTATAACTGCAACTGTTTGAAAATAAAATGAAGAGATATATTATATCAGACATGGGCAAATGCAGCTATTTTTGAGTTACATGCGGCTCTTGCTAAAAAGTGTTAATTTCTGCTTTTTATTATTATTTTTACAATTTTAATTTCCACAATTTTGTGAAAATATGTTTATTAAAAAAATTCAATATTTGTTTTATGTTATATTTATTTTATATAATAAAATTGTGGTACAGAACTGCAGTACAGAATAAAAAAGTACAAAATTGCGGCTTGCATGCATTTTGCAAAACCTACATTTTGGCTCCCACTGAACTCTTGCTTGCCTACCTGTATTATATTATATTATATTATATAGACTTCTAAATTTTATACAAAAATGTAATTCGTAATGAGCAATTACTTATTGTGTTATCATCGCAATGCCAAGCTGTAAGTTTTAATCATATTTTTAATTTATTTAATATAAAATATATGCTCTCTACCACAAATTAGTACTATAATGTTTTGCCCCTGTATGTCATACTTTTCCATTAGCAATGGAGTTGTGCTGGTCATCTATCCAACTTCTTTCAGGAGAAATTTTTGAACTGAAATAATGTGACTTTTGGTTTGCATCAGAAGTTCATATATAATTAATCAATGCCTCCTACCTCTAAGGTTTCCATATCTGGTCTCATCTTTCATCTATCTAACTCTGCTCTCGAGATTAAGGAAAGACAGAGAGATGGATGACTGTGGGAATTTATAGATCTACAACTTTTTCAAATTGCAGTCCAATTAAAATAAACTGCTATGAGAACTGGTTCAAACATTCTGTTAAAATCAGGTCTTTAAAATTTGTAAAAACTTTGGGAAGCAAACGAAATGACTAAAATAAATCATAGAAGCTTAAGAAAGCCTGCATTAGTTGCAATGGCAATGACAAAAGTTAAATACTAATTGCATTAAAGACGATAATGGAAGTTATTGTTAAAGAAATCAATTAATTCTTGTTTTTCTATAATATAAAAAAAGATTAATTCACTTACTTAGGAATTAATTTCTAAGAAAATGGATTAATTCCTTAAATCAAATATACAATCTAAAGATACAAAGGAATGGAACAAATATTTTACTCCACATCAATCTAGTCAAGAATAAAAAATAGAAAAATCACATAAAATTAATCTGGTACATTGCACTTTGTAAAATATATACTGTATTTTTAAATTATTACATTGCATTTCAATCCAAGAATCAGTAAAAATTCAAGTTATCATATTTTATTATTATAAATAATCTATAGCATGAAACTGCTTTGTTACTATAGAGCACATTTTTTTTAATAAAATCCAAATTTTCTGCTTTACTAGAGTACACAAATTTAAATTAGTCGGTCTCACAGATAGGGAGAACTGCAGTAGTACTTTCTACTTAGTTGCCCAAAAATATTAGGAAAACAGTAATAAATTTGTGTACTTGAATAGAGCAGAATTTAGACTGCCTGAAAAAAGTTGGAGTTTATTTATTATTCATTTTATTGTTGTAACTTTTTCTTAATTCTTTTATTTTTAATAAAAATAAAAATGTCAAATACTGTATTATTCATACATGTTCAAAATAGTTAATTAAATTTTCCATTAAAAAATTAATCAAATTATTTTATCTAAAAGTTTAAGTATATATTTTGATAATCAAAATTATACAAATTTACCACAAGACATTTGCTTTTCACTGATTCTAAATCATTGAGTGTGAAGAATTTTAAATTTTTTCTTAATATCTCTTACATTAAATTTCATCAAAATGTGTCCAGCAAGTTTGATGATGATTGTGAGGATGTTCATTATATGAATTAACCAACAATAATTTCAAAGCTTCAAAGCTTGAAAGTATAGTACCTATTGATGGAATGCACCTAAAAACATTTGAATGTAAAATGCAGATAGTATTGAAAATATGATTCTAAATACAAATGAATGAATTTTACTTCTTTACTAGAAATATTTAAAGAAATGTTGAAAAATATTTGATTATGTTAAAATCATAATCAAATATTTTTCTGATAAATTATATGTTAAAAATAGAACTTGTTGAAAACAAAAGTATATTTAGAAAATTAGTATTATAACGCAACATTTATTACACTGTGTATTGGTGCATTATAGCTTAAATATTTATGTATATTTATCACAAAACATTACTTGGTAAATGTACTGTACACACATCATCCAAACAAATGAACTCTTTCAAAATAATTTTCTTGAGATATTAATTAGTTATATCATTAGAATGAAATAAGTTTAAATTCTTTTAATATCAATATCGTGAGACTGAAAACAATAAAATTTTTATACCCTGAATTATGTGAGTAATGTGGACCATAGACATTCAAGTGACCCGAATTTCATGTAAGTTGAATTTGTAAATTGCTTAAGTGTAAATACATAATTAATAACTCAATACTGTATTTATTATTATTTATTATTTTTTTGTATAAAAGAATTCTTTATGAGAAAGAGTACCTGGTATGATTGTGTATGTGCTTACAATTAGACTGAAAAGTAAAAGATTAGCAGAGCAATAAAGTAATAAATCAGTACAATGTGAAAGAAATAAAGAAACAGAGAGAGAGAATTTATGAATGAATGTTTGAAATAGAATAATTCTTTGTAAAATTACATATTACTCTACTCAGAGTTTTTTCCAATTTTTGAGATTTACATTTTATATAACTGCAAATTTACCTAAGTTACATATTATGTAACTTGGGATATTACTGTATAACCAAACTGTATGCTTTGATTCTTAGAAATCAGTATTATTTTTAATATTGCCTCCTTAAACATCAATTTCCATAATGTGCCCATGGAAGAATGAGATAAAATTAGAAAAACTGGATGAATATAGAGCGATATTAAAACTGCTTTATTGAAGCATTTAATTTACTAATTATTCTTATTTAATTAAAAACGTTTATGTAATTGCTTCAATAAAGCATAATAAATTGTCAATATATTAAGCTATAAAGCATTAATTACATTTAAGTTGATTTATATGCTTTTACATGATCATAAAATTTTTATTCTTTACTTCATAGAGTATTTTAAATCAAAATGTATTGCAAACTACAATACATTTCCTACTGTTGCTCAAAACATTACTCCTCAATTGATAGAAGTCTTTATCTTTTTATTAAGCATCCCAATATTAGAAAAATTCAGATGCTTCAAAATCTTATGAATGACAAAACACTTACACAAACAAAAATCCAGTTCATGGAAAACAACAATGAGAAAAATGAATGTTTTCAATTGTTTTTAGCAATCATCCTCAAATTAAAGAACTTATTCAGAAACATATATCAGAAAAAAAGTATCCAATATTTAGTGCATTTATTTATTACTTATGAATGACTTTAATAATGTACTACAGGCAGGATCATATGGTGATGTGATGTGAAGTGATGTGGCTAGGTTGGCCTTGGATGGCATTTTTCTTAATAAATCCTTCTTTAAAGTACAGCAAGTTCTCACTTAATGTTGTTGATAATTTCTTGGAAATTTTAACATTAAGCAAAAACAATGTATAACAAAACCAATTTTACTATAAACTAAATAATAAAAACAAGATATAATTTGGTTATTATAATTCTAATCTGATTGTTTCCAACTTCTAGCTCTTAGAATCAATTTTACTGTTCATAAGAAAATTCAAAACTAATAATTATAAATAATTACAAGTGAACTTCTATCTTTCCTCGACAACATTATAACAAAGCTACATTAATTGAGAAGTTGCTGTACCTTCAATATTTTATCATAAAAACAAAAACATGTGGCTGCAAAAGTGCAAGCAATTATAAGTTATTGTGTTGTACTTATACGTTTTTATTTCCATTATTAATTTCATATACAATGGGGCAGTGTTTTCATAGCTTACCTCACTTTATTTTTTATCATCCAATACTGTCTACAGCTACTTTAAACAAAATATTTACTAGAATTCTGTCTGAATGACAAGATACACTAGAATCAAGATTTAGCTATTTAAGACTGCTTTGAAGTAAACAATATTTGGCATTAAAAATCAAATCTATTACTATTTTATTTATAATTAGATATATTTTGGTATATATATATGATTTTGATGATGATAATTTAATATCAATTTGTAGCTACAGTGAGTGATCGGTTAACGAACATAATCCGTTCCAAGACTTTGTTCATTATCCGAATTGTTCATTAACCGATTATCGATTTCCCATAGGTTTTTATGGGAATTTGATTAATTCGTTCCAGAGACTCCAAAAAATAAAAAATAAATACTTTTTTACTACGTTTATTTACATGTAATAGTAAAAATACATATATATGCAGTCTTGCATTTTTATTAGTCATGTTTTTTCCATTTGTGGGGTTAAAGAATCTGTCCAATGTCGATTGCTTTTCTTTTTTTCTTCAGAATTTTTCGGAAGTAATTAATAGTATTGTAATGGTGGAGATCCCAAACCCATTAAACCTTATTCTGGTTTGGATGCCACTTGGATGATCTGACATCCTCCCACTTCTTTAAAAGTAGCAGATGTCAACATTGGTCCTCTTTCGTCTTCCTCTTTTTCAAAAGAAAACACATCTAACCGAGTTTCTTGGTATCCTTCATTTGAGTTCTCGGAGTTCTTCTGTTATCAGATCAGTTTCAGGTTCCATTGTGAACTATAAATGCTCTTTATTTCTCAGATGTGATTTTCATTACTCCATTAGCAGCTTGAGACTTCTTGATATATCTTTCATAGTTAAGATTGTGCCTACTGTAGACATGTTCAAGCCATACTGCCCAGCAACATCAGACATCTTGTGCTCACTTTCTACCTTGGCTATTATCACTTACTTGGTTTCTACGGTGAGCACAGTTCTTGACACTTCTCTTTTTAGGTTCCATATTATCAGTTTCCTTTTTAAATAAAAAGTTCAGAAAAGCACTTACAAAAATTTAGAAAACAGAAATCAACTAGCCCATAAAAAATTATTTAAATACAAGGCCCAGATAAAATTCGAAATTTGGTATTAAAACGTTAATGGATATCCTTTCACCTTTCATAAATAAACCCCAATGCAAAATTTAAGAAGTACCTGTCTGACAGTCTTGCAAAGACTATAAAAATTATTTGTCAGAAAGGTAAACAAAAAGCTGGAATTACAAGGGTAAGTTTCAAAATTTGGAGGAATACTATCCGATGTTACGTCTCCTGCGCTCTGAAAGATTTTGAATTGTTACCTGAAGATAAGGGAAAAATCAATCGGTATTCGTTATTTTCCGTTGCTTCTTTTTATGTTTATTCAGTAAAGTGTTCGTTATCCGAACATATGTTCGTTGTCTGATCATAAAAATCTTTTGCAAAAATGTTCGTTATCCGATTTGTTCGCTATCCAAACTGTTCATTAACTGATCATCCACTGTATTTAAAATGAATAGTTTATATATAGAGTTTAAATCAGTGATGGGCAAACTTTTTAAAGAGCGGGCCAAAGGAAAAGAAGAAAACTTTAGGCGGGCCAATATAATTGTAACCTAGCGCTGCATCTGAAAATCCAGGTGGCGCTATAAAAACATGTGCAGGCCGTCCGCCATATTTCTTTTTCTCTCTTTCGGCTACGCTACGCACGACGAGTGGATGTTCTGTACCGAAGCATGCTTGTAACCGATCGAGCTTTTACTCAATAAGTGTAAAACAAACTTTTGTACATGATTGTAAATAAACTTTCATGGTGAGATATAAAGCTTCGGTTATTTTATATAATCAATGAACACTCAAGTTAAGTGGTGCATCAACCACCACAGCCTGTATTCTTTTTCACTCGTCAGATTAGGAATAATGTCGCGCGGGCCAGATAGAACATTTCAGGGGGCCGCATCTGGCCCACGGGCCGTAGTTTGCCCATCACTGGTTTAAATATTTTAATTAACCTAAAGTTTCTATAATTTTTTGTAGTTAACAATTTACATGAAAAATAATTTAATTTGACTGAATGTTGAGTATGTTTTAAATTTCAAATGTTTTAACATAAGTGTAAATAAAAATTAATGTTAAGAATTGAAGTGTGAGTTTTTCATGATCATATGTATGTATGTATAAAGAATTATCCTAAATGAAAAAAAAAATCTCATTTTTTCATTCAGGATCAAGAAATGTGTATCATGACTTTCTATGAGACTAAAATTTAATGATGTAATTTTCATTTTTCTATAACAATTTGTTCAAAAAATAAATAACTGTCTTATTAATAAGCAATTAATCAAACTTTAAATTCTAATTTAGAAATAATATTTATCAGAAGAACACTTTTAAAAATGTAACCAGAATTAACAAAAAAAAATATAAAATCTCATAGAAATATGATCAGGCCTAAAAGAAACAAACCAAGACCTAATGAAAAAAGTAAGCCAAATTTACAAAAAATAGATAACAAAAAAGTCAAACCATGACACAGACAAAACATGTGACCCAGAATGAGGAGGAAAGAAAATAAAGAAAGAAAAGATTCACAGAGGAAAATGCTATTGTTCCCAGATGAAACAAATTTGAAAGACTTGAGGCCAAACATATTTCTGTCTGGAATTTTTCTCTGGATAAACATTACAGTCATGTTCTGAGCATTGTTTATTAATAAAAGTTATTCAGTTATTTCATAAACAATATAGATTCTGATAAAATTATTATTTATAATTATATAACATTGATGTCAAATATTTTATTTATCCTACTTATAATAATGTAAGTGTGACAAATCAGTATTTAATGTTATAAAGTAAAAAGATTTGTTCTAAAATTATCACAAAAAACTTTTAAATATATAATAATTTTTGTTTAAATTTTAAAACTTATTTCTTTATTATTCTATTTGATATCAATATTTTGAAATATAAATATATATCAGAGAAACAACCATGAACATAAGGGGACACTTTGATTAACGGAATAGAGGAGATTTATTTGACCAAAATTTTACACAAAAACTCAAATACCAATTTTTAATTTTCCATCATTGATAATCTGTTCACCTGATTAATTCACCTGATTGTTCTTGCTTTGCCAAAATTTGGGAGGACAGTTGTCCTTCTTGCATCTGACTCGAATGCCCATTGAAACAATATAGTTATTTATTGCATTCTGTTATTATTATCAATAGCACAATGATATTGACTTGTATTTTACTAAACAAAATATCTATTATTCTAGAAAATTTTGTTCTAGATAAGGATCTGATTATAGACTAATTATGTAAATTTCAAGAGCTTTATTTTTTTGTTAAAAGAAAATTTAGATTTTTATAATATTAAAAAACATATTGTTACATTTTATTGTGAAAGTCCCAGTTAAAATTGTTTTTATAATTTGAATTTATATTTATTTAAATTTAAATTACTAAAAGTAAATATGTAAATATATACTAACATTTATTTGTAAATGGTCCCATACTTCAGTCAGTCCATTGCCATTATTAATTGTATATCTTTCTTCAATTGTTACTTTTAATTCCTCTCTTAAAGTTTCACCTACCTAAAAATAATCCATTTCAAATTTATATTTTAATTTACATTTTTAAAAATTGATTAATTACAATTCCAAAAGATGCATGTAAAATACATTCAAAATATTTTTTATTAATACATACTTGTCTCCTATATACAAAACCTAGCGTTCCAGCAGTAAATTCTAGCACAAAAATGATGATAACCAATGTGAAATACTGTAAATAACATATTTAACAATGTAAATATTTATTAAGATTCAGATAATACACTATATGAGTCTTAAAATTACTTACAGTTCTCAATAAACATTTACTCTGGAACCAAGATCCACAACAGCCAAAAAATCCAATCATAAACGTTACAATTCCTGCTGCTATACATAAACTATCAGCACTCAAAGTCCGATATGTTGGAAGTAGTGTCGAATATCCTCCATAAGCAAGATGCATCCAAACTCCAATGCCTAGCATTCCACATCCAATCATCTTAAATTTAATTAATGTATAATAAAATAATTCAGAAACATTCGTGAAATATTTAAACTTCCATTTTAAAAATTATCTTTCATTAAATTGGAAATTCTAGATAATTAATTTTTCATTTAATTGAAAGTATTCTTTCAATATTAAATTTATAATAGATTTTTATTGATTTATAAATTTATTGATCTTACCCAGAAGAGAAGATTTACACAGCACAGTGTGTGGCGAACACACGTGTAACCTGTTCTCCCCATCCTGCAACATTCACATGGGTCTTCCTGGAAAAATATAACATTTAATACATATTATCAAAATATATTTTAAAAAAACTTAAATTTAACTTAACAATTTGTTAATTATCATTTATACAAAACTTAATATACATTTCTTTTCTATACAGGAATAAAATAAATTACAAAAGAAAATAAAAATACAATTAACTATTAGCAAAATTTGAAAATTTATTTTAAAATCATTAAATAATAAATTTTTAGTCTTGGCTCTAAGAATTTTTTTAATTAAATATTTTTTTCGAATCATCCATCATTATATCCCCATAACAAAGTTTGACTTCTTAAATACCATAAGCAGTTTGTAGTTATAAATGATGGAATATTACTAATCAGATTAGAGGATTTATTATCGGACTACATTTTGGTTAATTAGATATACATATGCTGCATATTTTTTACTAAACTTAGGTGATTAATTGTCATCTTGTATGAAATTCAATAATAAGAATTTACTAAATAATTTAAGAATAGAATATTCTGGAAGAAAACATCTATATGCAGCAGGACTCAAACCTGAAACTCATAGCTGTCAAGAGCTTGTATAGAACACAAAGATAGAACAGTCTTCTTTTGTGCCCTTAGTAAGCTTTTTGTCATTTTATTGGACAAATAAAATATGTACATTGTTTATTTATTAATAAAAAGCAGTCTTAAGTTTCAATTTTTTTTTATAAAAATAAAAATTAATTTGTAGTGGTAGGAACCATTAGGGCACCAAAGTTTTGTCTTTGCCTTACAAAAAATCCAACTCCTCCTCCTCTTGACAGCCCTGCTGAAACTCTACTTACTGTGCAGATGCATTTCTTATATCAGCATATTATGGAATATATAGTTTATCCTCAGAAATACATTAAAGTAAATAAAATTCGGAATGTTATCCTTCATAAAATTGAAACTATTTTTCTTTTTATTGAAACTAAGATAGAAACTTTTTTTATTTTAAATGATTCTAATAAACCCTTGCATTCAGTAGCATAGCTAGAGAAGTGCTCAGGGGGCCTGGGTTTTCTTAACTTTATAAATAAAAATAAATGAGAAAAAATCAAAAAATTACAAGATCTGAATACAACAAATGTACTTATACACATGTATATACAATGTCTAAGAGTTTACTCTTCATCTATACCACTACTGGCTACATCCATAGTAGTACAGGGACGACTGTAAGTTTGCACATCGTAACTTGGCCTCCCTATCTAGTCATGCTGCCGTTTGTATTACCTAATGTCAAGCATTTGAAAACCTTAAAGAACTTTCTGATATATGGAAATCACTTCATCAGCAATACTAAATAAAATTTGTTAGTCAGATGAATTACTCCATTCAACTAATGAATTTTATTTTGTTTAGAGATGCATCATCATATAAGATGTAAAATATTAAATTCAGTCATACTGAATCTAAGTATATGCTATATATAAAATATATCAACATAAATAAATATTATTCTATTATTATATTGCAATATGCCATTCAAAAACTATTTTTCACTAAATATTATAAAAATTATTTGAAAAAAAATTTAATTTTTCTTCTAGAATTCAATTATTTCAAGCAATGACTGTATATTAGACTGGCATATTGTTTATCACCTAAACCAGGACAGTTTTTAAAAGTGAGTGAAAAATGGTTCTAAAAATGGTTAAACCTAGCTTATTTCTTAAAACATTATTTGCATATTGACCTATAAATTAATTTGATTATATTAAGAGCTTCTATTTAAAATTTTATTCTATTTTTGAGGGTTAAAAACAGGAGAAATCCAGGACCATCCCGGACAAGCCAAGAAGTATCGTCACTCCATCCTGAATATATTTTAAGTAACAAGTTTTAAATATATTTCGCAAAATCTTAAATCATTCTATAACTGAACACTTTCTAATGTTTTAAATTAAAATTTAAGATGTTAAAAACTGATAAAACCATCAAATAAATTAATTATGTCTTTTTATATTATTAAAAATATCATATTTATCATTCATAAATCCAAAGTGAAATTTTTTTATGGCTTCACAAGTAATCAGCATAGAGGAAAAAAACACTGCAAACATATGCATATTAGGTGCATTTATAAAATAAAAAAGGAAAAATGAACGTAAAGAAGGATATATTTGCTTTATTTCATGCTTAAATCAAAAACTTTGTTTCATATTGGGGTCAAAGCTCATTTGGAAAGTGTCCAAAGAAATTGATAAGAAAGATCTTACATCCAGAAGCAACCTGCTGCAACAGGACGAGTAAAGAATGTCCTCGCAACACGAAGAAGCCAACATTTCATCGCAGCAAGAGGAACCGACCCCAATACCTCGACCTCGCCCCATTTTTATTCACATTGACCTCCTCCTTCTCCTCGTTCACATTGGACACCTGGAGGACAAAGATGCCCGCATCTCACCTCCTTAACTAATTTCTAAACCATTTAACAAATCAATATGCCTTTGTTTATTATTAACTTTCATTTTAATCTTAACGAATTTTGTACATAAAGTGGAACGTAAAGCTAAGAAGTTAATTACTCTAATCGACGCTAATCTGGATAATGGTAAAAACAAAAAAAAATTAAAAAAACAAAACAAAATGAATATTTCTTTTGTTATAAATACACTTTTGTGAGTCATTAAATGTTATGTAACGTCTTTTATTTGCATGAAGTAGTGGTTTAGGCCACGACATTTTCTATACTATTTACTTTGACCTAAATTGCCGCTAACTATTCTTATCTAAACAGCGAAATCGACCGAATGATTCACTAGAAATTCAAGAATTGAATAAATAGTAACGGTTTATTTAAATATTATTCATCGCCTTTTCCGTATTTCGCCTTCTTAAAAGCTAATTTAAGCATTTAAATGAGCGAATTGCTTAAATTTATCATTAAATAAGCCTGCCCGTAAACTTACCGAATGATTCCGATCGGATTAAATTAATTTTCTATACAAAACATGGCACCTTCTAATTAACTTTTTTTTTGCAGAAAAACTTGAGAAAATGCCCGGTGAATGGCTTCGGAATTAAACTGCGTGTTCAATTTGTAATCGCTGATTTATCTAAACATAAGGACTATTTATCTTTTATGCAGATAAAAAGAAATTACAAGTAATTCAAAAGTTTTTTTCAATTTACTCTCAATTATTTCAAGCTATTTATATGTTTATCTATTTAAACATTAAAAAGATATTAAAATTGCAAATATTGAATTTAAAATTAATTAGTGGACCTCCTTTGTTTATAAAATATGAAATAAAACACTGATGAAATTAACTTTTCAGGGAATTTTTAAATGCAATACTCAAAAATACTGATTTGGAAAATTTTAATATTTTAATACTTAAATATATAATTAAGCTATTTGTGCAGAAAATAAGCGTATAAAAAGAAAAATTAATTAAAACTTAGGAAAATCCCTCAAAGAAAGCAAAGTACAGGCATACCTCGACTTACGTCGGTTTCGAGTTACGTCGTTCCCGATTATACGTCGCTTGTTAAAAAAGTATATGGAAAAATAAAAATCAAGTTTAAGTCATTTTATTCGACTTTACGTCTGTCCGCCACAAATATTGAAGTCGTAATATCACTAGATAAACGTTTAAAGCACATAAAATCATATTAAAATATATACAAGTATGTACTGTATTTACAGTACAC